CCCACTTCTTCGGATGCATAAGTGGGCTGTAGTCCACGAAAGCTTATGCTCTAATAAATTTGTTAGTCTCTAAGGTGCCACAAGTCCTCCTGTTCTTTTTGCGGATACAGACTAACACGGCTGCTACTCTGAAACCTGTCATTAGGGTGAGAGTTTCAAAAGCCCCTAGCATTGGCTTCTCTCTGCTCCCAATGAAGTCAAAGTTAAAACTCCCAGTGACTTCAGTGGCTGCAGTTAGTCCCACATTTGAAAATTCCACCCTAGAATTTATCTTACAGGACATTTGAAATTTGTCATGTTGTGTGGGATTTTAAAGGTGCCTAAGGGAGCTATGTACCTAACTTACATTCACATTCGGTGGGAATTGGGAACCTAATCTCAGGCATTTTTGAATTTTTCTCTTTTAGGAATGATCTGAATCCCCTGGAAGTCAATGGAAAGACCCTCATTAATCTCCATGGGCTTTGAATCAGGGCCTTTTCCCATAGCGGAGCACTAGTTCTTGAGGTTTAAACTACATCATTAGCAGACTGGAATTCCTGCTGGGAACAGGTATCACTAAAATGTTGGCTCTTTCTGAGAGACACCAGCAATAATCATGGGGATTGGGAGAGCAAAAGAGTTCCTGATATTTAACAACAAATGGCATTACCATTTACATTAATGATAAAGGGCCAGATAACTGGTGTAAATCAAACATAGCTCCATTTAAGGCTGCACAACTAGAGGAGTATCTGACACTCAGAATTTTTTCTTATCTAGTAAACATTTGTTTACTTAACTATATTGCAATACTCAGTGCTATTTTCCTTTAAATAGCATCCTGACAGATTTGATTCATACATACCCAGGGAGGGAAATCTGAGGTTGTTTTTAAATATTATTTTTTGGGGAGCGCCCTACTGATGGCTGCTCAGAATTGGCAAATGTATATAGCTGGGGAACTGAGGGAAAACAAAACCAAAAGCCCTCTCCACTATCACTTGATGCCTGAAGTGATGGCGGGAAATATCTTGGAGAAGGGCAAAAACATTCTTCAGTTCACACAAGGTAGGTTAGTTTCCTAGTTGGCTGCATTTCTGTGGCAATTAAAATTGTGCCCCTTTCTTGTGCAAACTGAAAAAAAAAAGAGGCTCTTTTTGATGTGCAATGGGATCCGATTCTGTCAGAGATGCTGACACTCTTGTTGAAAGAGGATAAAACCTCTGGGGAGTATGACAGAAGAAGTGGTCCAGAAGCTGAGTCAACACGTCTGTTCTCCCTTGCTGCTGCTTTCCCTAGCAAAAGCAGGTTTGTTCACTATCAAATGCCTGATTACTCTGAATATAACAAAAGACTTAGTTTCCTTGGGAGTCCAAATAGCCAAATATGTGGCTGCATGTGCTGTTCTTACTCATCAATGCAAATGCTAACCTATAAATCTTTCTTTTTACAGTACTGTAATAACATTCTATCTATTTAGCCTAGTACAATACCATCACAATAGCTTTTTCATTGTATTGCATTCCTATTAGACTAATATAATGAGATGCTACTACAATACCATGAAATAAAACGACGTTCTTGACGTATTTCCAAAACATTTGAACACTGTTTCCAAATCGACCTGGTGAATAAATTAAATAGAAGCTTGTAGGAAAAAAAGTCCTCTATCATTTTTAGAATGCATGCAAATGCAAAGCTCAGATGCTTACATGTTTCTTACAGAGTCTGGGATTGTAAAAAGTATTTGTGCACATGAGTGTTGTCTCTGGGTGTACTTGTCATTTGTGCTCAGTGGTTTGCATAGAATTGTAGCATGATTTGCCCTTCAGGATGTCCGATTCTTCCTCCTTTCCTTGTTGACCTGCATATTAAACTTCTCTGCTGTAAGAATCCAGATTTTGGTAGTCCCTTCCATTTTGTCATATACATTATCACCATTCAGCTGCTTTTCACTATCAGATGCTCACTGCATACCCTCACACAGTAACACCCTGAACAAACAGATCTTTTGAAGGGAGATTCTTAGAAGGCTTCTCCTTCACAGAATGCATTAAAATATTTTTGTGTGTTTCCGAAGTCAGAGAACCAGACAGATGTTCGATATAGAGCCGTGGGGGAAGATTACAAATTTGAATGAGGAATTTGTACCATGGAAGATATTTTGATTTTTTAATGTACTGCACTGATAAATGGATGAAAGAACAATGTTTTGTTCATTTTCAGGGGGTGTTCTTATTCATAGATTAATGGATTTTAAAGCCAAAAGGAATCATTATGATAATTTAATCCATCCTTTGCATAACTCAGGCCATAAAATCTAATCCAGTAATTTCTGCATCAAGCCTATAACTTCTGTTTGAACCATAGCATCTCTTTTAGACAAAATATCTATTGATTATAATAACTCTTGATTCCAGAAATAAGCTCCAAAAGTAAGAAGATCCTGTATCGTTTCAAAAGATTTCTCCTATCGGTTCACTCACGTGTATCTTTTCACTACTCTTCATTGAGGGGCCTAATCCAAAGCCCATTGAAATAGAAAGCCATTATCTTTACTGACTTTGGGGGGCTCTTAGAGATCTAGTTTAAGGTAATGGATTGTGAATTTCAGTCAGTGTTTTCTTCTTTTATTCAGTCAAACTCCTCTGCAGACAGATGACCTGTTATCCTTCCCCAAGATACACCAGCACCATTTCCATGAGTTGATGGTGGCTGGCAAGAGCAGGTGGGTGGTTTCTAAATGCTCTTCTTGATAGATGCTATTCTACTTGACCTTTTTGAAGAGGAAATGGTGAAGAGGAAACACTCTGAACCCGTTTCATAGGGGAACGTGTATTGTTTTTGCAATGACAATGGTTGATTGTTCACTAAACTCTTTGCCAAAAAGTAACTTTGATGGTTGGCTATATGTCTTGTCTGTCTGTTTTTCCAACACCGTGGACACATTCATCCTCCTGGTGGTTTCATCTGTAGCAGAAATGGAAAAATCTGGTGTTCTTTTAGACAGCCCCCTGCTGGAACCCTATAAAAGCACAGAAACTAAGGAAGTTTTCACAGCATCTAGAGTTAGAGCTTGCTGTGAGAAACTGGCCATAAACATTAAAAAAAATGAAAGCAAAAACGTTAGCTTTTGGCTGTAAATTCATACGAACACATTTTTATCTCAAATAAAAGCAGGTGTATATTATGTGTGATTTTATATATGTATAAATATGTATGGTGAGAGAGAGAATGCTGCATGGGTATGTGAGTGTGTCTGAGTTCAAATGGGTTCAGAAATGACTGTCTTGGCGGTGCATGCCTTTTTTCAAGCACAGTCATTGTGCTCACCTTTGAAAATTTGACCTTGAGCCTCCAAAATCCCCAGTGATCTCAAAGGCACACGCCCATTCAGTATCTTGCTTAGAAGTTGAAGGCAGTTCTTAATTTGTAATGGAAGAGGTGCCAGGGCTCAAGCCATTATGTGCTGGGGCTTAAGCAATTTTTTTACAATCATAACTGATGCAGCAAGCCCAGAGGTGCCAGGTATATGAACTGCCAAGCCTAGAGATGCCAGGGCTCAGCCCTGGCAAGTCCTAGCACAAATTAAGCACTAGTTGAAGGGTGAATTGAGAGATTTTGTAACTAAATGAGTAAACTTCTGAAATCTCAAATCTATAACAGAATGTATATCGTGAAATCTGTCCTAGCTGACCACTCAAGAGACCAGCTAAAGTCAGATGCTTTAGCCAAAGCATATCTTTAATTAAATGTTGAATAAAATTGTCCTGGAATCCCTGGGGATATTTTACAGTTGGGAGAGGGACTGTCTATTGGAGGTGGCCCTAGGTGCAGGTTACATAGACTAAAACTACAGTTGATTTTATATTTAAAACTAAATATCTGAAAATCAGTTCCCATACCCCGCTCTTTTTTGTATGCCAAGACCTGAGTTCAAAGATCTGTTCCCTCTACAAGAGCTGGTATCTCAACTAATATCTAAATTGTAGCAGGGAGTAGAAGAAAGAACTTGTGTGGTCCTTGACTTTGTAAGAGGAAGCACAGAACTGTGCATGTAGGTCTTGGCTGGTAAATACAAGAGATTTTCTGATTTTTATTTTTGTTTTTGATTTCAAAATGAAACTAACTCTGATTTTTTAAGTCTAAGCTCATATAGTGTCTTGTTTCAGTTTTTCTTTCTTTCTTGAGGTGCAATTCTGACCTAGTGGAATGAGCATCTGTCTGGAGTCAGGAGACTTGGGTCCTGTTCTTGATTCCATTACAGACTTGTGATGTGAGTTTGGGTAAACCATGTCATGTCTCTATTCTTCAGTTTCTTCATTTGTATAATAAGGATAATAACCCATCTCCACCTTTATGAAATGCTTTTGAGATCTATGGAACAAATACACTATATAAGTCTCAGATATTATTGTTGTTAACAGTACTGATGATGGTCTATTTGCTTTTTTCAGTTCACCCTTAATATTTGGAAATGCTTCAAGCTAAAAATATTCTTGTTACAAGCCACCCTGTTTATAGTAGCTATCCAACTGGACAGCTGTTTAAAATGAACTGAGCTCTAGTCTAGCATTTGAATACTGTCCTTCAGTCCAAATATGACAATTGGTTTGTTCAGACACCTGCTATCTTTTTCTTCTCCCTGCAGTTTCCGTTTGGGATCCATACTGTCCAAAGACAACTCTGTTTTCCCTCTGTTTAACAATTTGTTATGCACCAATGCGTTAATACAGAAACAATGGACAGTAAAATTAGATTGATTGTGTAGCTGGGAGGAATTCAGAGTGGAGAATATGGACACTGTCTCTGCAGCAACAGTACATGAGGAAATAGACAGAAGATCCCGGGGAAATATAGGCATGAAGCAGAGGGAAAGAAAACCAAGGCCCTCATCCTACAGCTTTTTCCTGGCTGAACTGCTGCACCCAAGCAAAGGCCCATTGAATGGGCGTCTGCATACACAATGAGGCCACCTGCATAGACCAAATTGCAGGAGAGGGGCCATAGGGAATCAAGAATTGCCAGGACCCTGTAGATGTAAGAGTGTAGTCTATGGCGGTTGAGGGAAGCCATTATCTATACAGCCCCCAAAAAGGATCCACATCAGAATGAGAGGGCAGAAATAGTAGAAGAGGGCAGGAAGAAGTCCAATCCATTGACATTTCACCCTCCAGGAGCACTGTGTTCTCTTCAGCAAAACATTCCCCCTTCCCTTGGTGGAAGCACTTTGCTACCATTTCCCCTTGATGGGAACAATACCCTTTATTCATGTAAAGGGCAAACCCACTGATTTCTGCTTCCCTTGCAGACCCTGATCTCAGATTAATGTTGACTGTATGATTCTTTTCAAAGTTCTGGCTTCCCATTTGAAGAAATTATGCCCCCTTATCATTGATCTAGACCAGATTGGTTTTATTAAAAACAGAAGTTCCTCCCACGGCGTGTGGCGATTAGTTAGCACTGTGCATTTTTTCCTGTAAATACGATGAAGAGCTGTTAGTCCTTAGTCTGCACAGAGAAAATGCTGGAGATCCTGCAAAAAATAAAAAGCTATTTTTAATGTAATATTCTGAAGTCCTTTGAGTTTGTGGGGACTTTTATACAATGGATAAAAAAAATTCCCATGTATACTAACCTTTCTTATTTGCAGTACAGTAGCACGTGACAGCTCCAACTGAGTTCAGCATTCCGTTGTACTAGATGCTGTACATAAACATAGTAAGAGCTTTGGGTGAAATCCTGGCTTAACTGAAGTTAATGACAAAACTCCCATCGAATTCAGCGGGGCAAGGATTTCACCTTTATGGTCTAACTAGTCAAGACAGACAAAGCAGGGGGGAGAGGATGTATTATTGTCTCCATTTTACAGATGGGGAAGTGAGACACAGGGACTAAATAACTTGCTCAGTGTCCGAGAGACACCAACATGGCTACAACAACAGTGCATACAGCAAAGGAATACTGCTCAGTGTCACACAGGGTGTCTATGGGAGACTTGGGAATTGATCTCAGACCTCCTGTGTCTTGTCCACTTCCTTAGCTACAAAACCAACTTTTCTTTCACCTGTTTCCACTGCAATACTGTGAAATCAGGCCCTGCTTTGTTACCAAAGCTTTGTTAGTGGGTTGTCCCTTTATTTATAAACCCTTTTGATAGGGTGATATGATGTAATGCTGCAAAACCATTGCAAAATTAACACAGCTATAGATAGGAACATAGGAACTGACCAATACATTTCTAATCCTGTTTACAAACCTTATTAAACTATTTGCCTTGTAACAGTCTACAGCTGTGTGTTCAACAGGCTGGTTATGTTTGTAGAGAAGTATTTGCATTCACGCCTTCTGAATTTCTTACCTTTTAATCTCATGGAATGTTGTTATGTTATGGGACAGGCTAAGGGACAGTGCCCATCTAACCTTCTCTAGCCCATTTCATATATCTCTAGAACATCTCTTATTTTTCTCCCTCCTAAATTAAATAGTCCTCATCTTTTAAATCTCTTCATATGGAACATTTTCCTCCCTACCACAGACATGCACACACAAACACTGCTACTATCCCAAGACGTCACTAACTATTTTATTATAGTAGCACATTGAGGTCTCATTGTGCTAGGGGCTGTATAAACATATAGGAAGAGACGGTTCCTTTCCCCTAAATGCTTGTAAGCTAAATAGACAAGGGATGAGAGAGAAGCCAGAGGTGAAGTGACTCACATCACGTCAGTGGCAAAGGCAGGAATAGGACCCAGGTCCCCTGAGCTCCAATCCAGTAGATCACACTGCATCTTCCAAAGGTTTTTCTCTGAACTTTTTCTACTTCTTTCAGGCCTTTCATTAGCAGGCGTGACCAAAATTGCATCACAGAGGGCTTGTCTACACTTATAGCACTGCAGCTGCACCACCACTGCACAGCTTCTTCCCGCTGGTTTAAGTACTCCACCTCCCCAGGAGGTGGTAGCTATGTCAATGGGAGAAGACTTCCCGTCGACATAGGGCTGTCTACACTGGGAACTCAGTCAGTATAACTGCGTTGCTCAGGGGTACAGATTTTCCAACGTAGTGCAGACCAGGGATTAGTTTGAGATGATGAAAAGTCCACACCCTCATTTAATTAGTTTTGTTACACAACATAACAGTGCTAGTGTTAAATTCATCCACAAAATATTGCTCCTTCCCCAACCCCAAAACTAAAGCACATTTTGTAAGCTCAAGATCAAGCTGTTATAGGGACAGAAGTAGCTCCTTTGAAATTCAAGGAGAAGAGATTTGGTATATGATTTGTTATTTTGGGATTATGGTTTTTCTGTTTTCCATACATTATCTACATTAAATATTCACCCTCTAATTTCAGATCATTTGATGAAATTTAGAAAGATGGCATGACACAGCTTTTCACGTAAATGTTCTTAATATGTACATATCCATTATGTGTGTTTCCTTTAAACTATCCAGCTTCCTTTTTGTTTCCTTTACCAAAATGCTTTCAGTCCCTTTTCTTGTGTCGAGCTAAGAACCCAAACATCCTTCTGTGCCACTGGCTCTCATGCCCAGAGGTGGCATTGGCTTACAATGCCAAAAATAAAATTGTTATTTAGCATACCAGTTTGAGCCAAAGTTTCTCTAGATTCATGCACTGAAAAGGCAAAGATGGACTAAGATGGCATAGAAGCATTTGGTAATAAAATTTTAATATGACTAAGTTTCTGATATTTCCATCGAATGACCTCCCTATGACACTTAATAATCTCACTGCCTGAAATAATGCAAGTGGATTCTGCTAACTGTAGGGCTGTCTCACATTGTAGGGCTCATTTGCTCACAGCCCCTGCAGCATAGTTCCATCCAGACATTGCCCATTATGTGTAATCATTGGGGAGTAAAGCAGGCTCAGTGCAATACTTGGGATGGCATAACAGGAAGTGAGATGAATTTGGATATAGTGCTAAAATGCTTATGTATTTAAACTGAATATGGAAAACTGGCTATTATCAGAAGACACCTATATAACCAGAAACTCCTACTTGGCTCCCATTTATCACCTATGCAGAGAAGAAAGTGGTAACTCATAAAGAGATAGATGTGCCTGGCTCTCACACGGGCGTGCAGGGGTAAAG